TATTGACCAGAGACTTCTCTTTGAATATGCAGTAGGAATTTTCTCAAGGTGAAAGTGAATGCTAGATTTGTTGCCTGAAAAATTAGGTCTCTAAATCAAGCAAGATGGCTAACTTTAGCCATCAGGTTAATCTGCTTACGTACCAGAAATGTCTATCTACCAGAATTCTGATAAATTGTACAGCCTTATAAACTGTATAATTAAAATATATGCAATTAGTTGGATTGAAATAAAAAGGTATAATAAATTCTATAACCAACAACTGTATATCTTCAACATGATCCAGAAAATAAAACAACAGTGGAACAGAATGTTGCATCAAAAAATTTGCATCACAAAGCTTTCTACCTTGCTTCCAGAAAATAATCCTATCTCACTATTGAAGTCAGATGAATTAACTTCAACAGTGAAGTGAGGGAAGAGACTATCAAAAAAAAATTTGTCCATTAGGTAAGTAAACATTTATTCATACTTAATTAGTTATGTCAATTTACGAGATTAATTTTAAAGCTTCATTCAAATTACATCACAAAAATATAACCAAGTCTGGGTAATTTTCCAATAAAAATATTTTTTTTTTATTTCAGAAGTAGTGAGTCATCAAAGAAGAAATTAAAAAAAAATGACATTCATCAACTCTGAAGTGACACACTGGTTAAATTTGATTAATCTCTCACAAAATGGAGTTTGTGAACCTGTGTTTGCAGGTTTTTCAAATAATGAACAGCAACAGCATCTAATGAATGTAGCGATGTTGGACTTGCCAAATTTACCTGCACATTTGCAATGTGTTAAATCATCTACTGAAGCTTCACAAATTGTATATTAACAAGAAGTAAGGCACATTATTGCTAAATCATTGTGCCATCAAATAAGACCTTCATTTGCTTCAAAAAACATTTTAATTATATTATGATGTAATGTTATACAACACAGTAGTTTTAGTGTGATTTTTTAATAAACAATGCAAATTTTAAATATTTTGTCTTATAATAGCAGCATTATGGTGTTATATAAGCTTTTATCTATTTTTTGTTTTTATTAATTATGACCTAATGAATGATCTAACAAATCTTATTCATTTAGTTGCATTTTTTGTAATCTTTTACAATTTTATTTTACAGTTTTTACTTATCGAATACAGTAAAAAAAATTGTATATTTTGCTTGTGATAATTCATAATTAGAATTCTGGTTTGAATATATTTTCTATTCAATGTATCTAATACAAAAAAAAATCAACGTTATTTGGATTCATTCTTGAAATAGTAAAATTTTGAAGTCAGTTTGTAAGCAAAATCCTGTGGAAATTAGGTTTTCCTGTACATTTTTTTCAGATGATCTTTAAAATTGATAAAAGCAATGAATGTAATTTTTGGTTTCCCTATTTATCACATTAAACTCCAGCTTTCACACTAAGTACAATGCTGATTTTCTAAAAAAAAAATTAAAAAATCAGCCTGCCCAACTACCAAAATGGATGTTTTTTCCCAAAATGAAAGAAAAAAAATGCTACCTACTGGTTTTAAAAATTTATCAAAATTAGAGAATTGTCTGCTTTAAATTAAATTTTCAGTACGTGTTCATTAATGAATGACTTGTATACTGAATAGTTTATTTTATTAGAAATCATTGTAGAAATATTTGTGGTAGGGTCAGTCTCCCACTTCCTGACACACACATACACCTCATTTTGATACATTTTATAGTTTTATAAAGAAAAATCACTGAAGATATTATTTAAGTAAAAATTTTTGCAATATCAAATTAGAAAATCTTGAAAATTTGAGGCATTTATTTTTTATAAAAGTGGTTGTCGCAGGAGATAACTTCTATTGTTTGAATTATGAACTTGTTTATAGATGGAATATACCTTGCTGCATTCAAAGGTGTTTTTCGCAATATTTTAAATTAAATATTTTTTTTAAATTGTGTTAATTAATCCTTAATTTTAATCATGTTTTTAAAACTATGACATTTAATTGAATTTTTAAGAGATTTTTAAAAATGTCTTAAATTTTCTGCCATCATTTTCCTATAAAAATGGAAGATCAATGATAACCATAAAAACATTTTAAAAACTGTCTTAGCCCTTTGAACCCTGCGTTCCTGAACATTTTTAACCCTTCTGCCTGAGATCCTGTGTCAAAATTTGCAAATAATTGGTATTGGTAGATATAAAAATAGTTACAAGTGTTTGCCCACTGTTCAACCGGTGACTTGGTATTAAGTCATTTTTCTCTACCACCGGTAGAGCAGTGGTCAAGGCTCAAAGGGTTAAGGATGAAATGCATAAAATTAGTTTCATTTTTTTTTTTAGATTATCTTTCAAATAGATTCAAAATTTTACCAAAAAGGAGATAAGAATCATTGTTCAGCAAGTGAACATCAAACTGTGCCCTCACATTTGAGGCCTTGTGCCAGACTAACTTAAAACTTATAAATATCTATCTTATCTGAACATGGAGAAATGCTTAATACATGAGCATGTGGCATCTGTTGGTCTGTACCCAAAATGTTACGCCTCAGCTGCTGATGGCAGCACAGTATATGTTATGGCTCTACAGACCCACACAGAAGTGACAGTCTTAATTGCAACTAATGCATATAAAAATGCTCTCTTCCTGATGCTGCTGTGTTGTTTTCTTTCCTTAGAGCACATTTCACCTGATAGCAAGCCTCTGCTTCTCTTTTCACTCCAGCCCTTGGTGTAAATCACGTCTACAGTATACGTGATCATTAGCAATGTCTCCCCACCTCTCGATGCCCATGTCCATCACCCTTATATTACTTTTACAGATGTGCTTGAAGAGATGATGAGGATGACCTCATGTCAGTAGACAGTTCTCTATACAGAAGGACCTTCAGAATCCTCCCAACAGTAGACTGTTGCTTCCCATGTTTTGCTGTTCTGGTGAGGTGATACTGGAGGGTCTTCTCCAGGGCGCAGGGTGCAGGCCTAGGCAGGGTTTTATGAGAGATCGGCATTTGCCCATGCAGAATGTCTCCCCTCTCCATGCTACCGATGTTGTCCAAAGGAAAGGTAGAGCCCAATGCATCTTAGCACTGGCATCATCACAGGAGTTGCCAGAACAAAATCGAACATAATATCAGACTGTCTTAGGGACTCTAGCTCTGGGTTTATCCTAAGAGTTTACCTCCGAAGCTTTTCCTTTTATTCAGTGTAGCTACAAGGCATCAGAGGTTTAAAAGAATTTTCCTTCTTGTAATAAGTGAGATTAGCAAATTACGAGAATTTTACACCTTTACATAAGACCAAATCTAATTTATAACTTACTAGCAGGAGAGCCCGGCGTTGCCCGGGAATGTAACAGTAAGAGATAGATCAAGTATCGACCATCATAAAAACTGAAAAATAAAATTGACAAAGATTATTGCTTAAGGTTGACGGACATGCATGTCTTAATTAGTTTTTGTTTTTGTTTTTTTTTTTACAAATTGGTCAAACCCAAACTCAAACAAAAACATTGTTTTCAATCGTTATGAGTCTACCGATTGAATAGAATTTTATTATAAACAATTGGAATTTTTAAAGCATTCTGAATGTAAAAATAAAGAAAAAAGTGTGCAAGACAATAAGAAATACTACCTGCCAAAAAAAATGACAGAATCAGGTGACAGAATCATGTTTTAAAATTGATTTCGTGCAAAAACAATTGTGTTTTTCCAATTTTTGGCGCTGTCAGAACCACCGCAAGGTAATTTTATGCAGTCCTGTGAAGTTCTGTTGAAATCAGTTAAAAAATGTAGGAAATCCGATCCAATATATAAACGTACAGATACGCACACACACACAATCTGCATTTTATAATAAGTAAGATGACATGATTATGGAACAATGTGAAGAGTTAGATCCTGGATCTGAAAAGTTAAAGCAACAAGCATTTGTCTGGGCAAAATAGAATTGATTGTTAATATTATCAAGGGATTATTATTATTTCATTCTGGTTGACTCTTGTCTACTCACTGCTGTAGACTTGAATAAAGTTAGGATAAAATGAAAAAAAAAAAAATGAAGAAATTAATCAGAGTGCAATATACCTTTAGGTTGATTCAGGGATGTGCAAGTTTAATAGTAAGTAATCAGCATGCACATTATTCTTAAATAACAGTTCAGCTCGAAGATGGACTGAACAGTTGTCAACAATAAGACTTGGGCTGCCTTCTGATAAGCCTACTGATGTCTAGTGTAGTCTGTCTTTTTTATTGTTGTTGTTTTATGTCATCTGAATAAGTTACCCAATTAAGACATCTGATAAGCAAAATTCACAGTAAAAATTTCAATTCTGATGAGAGGTTCACATTTAACAGATTGTAACAAACAAAATCTAAATAGTTTCATGCAAGATCTTGTTTCATATAAATGTAACCTACCATGTGGTTGAAATGGGTGCATAGTTTCCAGTTGTGCTTGATATAGGTTTCCTAATTAAGTCATTAATTAATAAGAGGGCAGTATTTCTTGGATTTGTGATTCAATAAGAAATTCTGTTTGGTCCTCACATTATTCTTTCACAGTAGTTTAATTCTAAGATGGACTGAACAGTTGTCTAGAAGAACAATTCTGAACTCTTCCCACAGAGGGAGGGTGTGTGGGTGGTGTAATGGATAGCAGCTCAGAATGAGAAATCGGAGAGCCGAGTTTGAATTCCAGTTGATTTAATTACATTCACTTTTGTGCAAATACCCTTGGGAAAAATATGAATCCATCTCTTCTCTGCCCCCCAGCTATGAGTTAAATAGTAGGACTTCTATCTGAGAAAATCAAATTCTTACAATCCAAAAATATGTTTCTGCTTTAAATAACCCAAAAAGGGTTGATAAACTGTAAAATAATAAATCAATCTATCTATTCTGTAGATGTGCAATGTACTTGAAATTTTCTCCAGATTACAAGAGGTATAAAATTATCATTTACCAGAAGAAAAAAAAAGCGGTGGTTTACCTGTCTAAGAAAACTCTTAATATATTTTAACATACCTTTGTAATGTGAGAGAGCTGTGTAAGCCAGTCGAACATTTCTCTCAAACCTGGGTCTCTTGTGAGAAGTGCTAGTTAAGATCTGGATGGCATGTTCAACAGCACACTGTTTCTTCTCAACACTGTCAAAACTGCAAAGGGAAAAATTATTTTTTAAAAAAAATCAATATTTTTCTATATATACAGTCTTTGGTCAATTTTTCATTTTATTTCCTTCTTCTAGAAATATCAATTCTACAGTGATAAAGTGCAAAAAGATTTAAATTCAGTAATTAGGGTCAAATCATTGTAATGAGGAGTGGGGACTTGGAAAGAGAGAGGAAATATCCTGATATTCTACACTCTCCAAGGTCCACTATAGGCATAAGTATATCCATTTTGTGAAATACATGTTTGATGATTTGGCACACGTCAACAGTGATGTTTTTAGCTGAGGATCACTAGGGGTTTTGGGTCTTACAACATCATACTCGTTCTCCACACTGACCAAGTCGATACTGATCAGATATCAACTTGTGTGCCATCTGTCAGCTACAGTTCTTTCTTCCTGATATACTAGTGCCTAAACAATAATGATCCTTTCCCATTCTCTAATTATCTTCTTGATGTTAAGTTGAAATTCATCAATTTGTTATTCCATCTCTTCCAAATGTTGCCTCGTTCATAAACAAGACTGAAGAGACAAACAACGGATTGGCAGTTTGTGCAATAAACCATCGGCTTAAGCTCTCTCAAGTTGAGTGATCAGAGGGTGAAAGACCCTGCACATGTTGCAAATGATATGGATACAGGAGCTGCTCTTGAAGTACCCTCCATGTAGTACTATGCGATGTATGACATGCTAGGGCCACTTGGCATGTGCTGATACCTGGATCATCTCCAACAGCCTGTAGAATGTGTTCTTCATGGTCAGGCATACGAGCAGATCTCAACCTTCCTCAATCCATAGTGGTACCATGGATCCTGTCTTAGCAACACAACAATAAACAGCAGCAAAGGTTGGATGACTCAGATGCCTTCGGTCTGGAAATGTAATCTGATAAAAGCTTTCAGCCTCACATCCATTACCAATCGTGTGGCTGTATGTAAAAATCATATCTACCTTCTCACGATATTAATATCCTGCCATTGTTAAATGGAACACTTCACAGTTAACTCACTACTACACACATTAAATGTTGAAGACAAACTAGCCACAAATGTACATGAATGACAAATGTAACCAAGTCCACATTGCAGCACAGTGCCATCAATCAAAAATATTCTTTAAACTTAATAACTCAAGAATGAAGGATTTTCGAACCTATGTTTTGTCCTTGTTTTGGTGTGAGGAACGTGCCCCCAAAGTATATATAAAAGTGGACATTGAAGTCAACACCCAGAAGCAACTTCAATGTTCACTTTCATATTTACTCATGTTCTATCCCTGTTATTGAGCACTTTAACCCATTAATATAGCATACCTTAAAACTATAATAATAATAATCCATCTTTATTTAATATCAGAAAAAAAATGTACACAGATTTTAAACAGGAGTGAAGACTTGCCTATAAGGTGCTCTTCTGCCCAACTCACCTTCTATTATATATATATATATATATATATATATATAGATAGATAGATAGATAATATTAGTGGTAAATATACACACATACATATGCAATCATATATCTAAAATATATAAATATATATACATACATACATACATACATATATATATGTATAAAAAATAATTCCAAGAGAATAGAATCCAGGTAGAACTCAATGTTCAGGACAGAGAAAGGATATAATAAAAAGGCTTAAACACTAATATTCCATGGAATATTAGTGTTTAAGCCTTTTTATTATATTTTACACACAGTACAAGGCAAAAAAATGGATGCACCCATAGAAAGTAGATTTTTGTATATTTATCGAGAGTGCAACAAGAGTAAATTGCAATTCTTCCAGTGGCCTAGTCAGAGCCCTGTCCTTAACCCAAATGAAAACATTTGGGTGATAATGGACAAGTGTGCCTGTAATAAGAAAGTTAACACAGAAGGTGAGCTTTTTTTGCAAATTAAAGGAATGCTGGAAAAATCTGGCAAAGGACATTGACTTACTAAAGAATTTAGTCTATAGCATGCCATGAAGAATTAAAGCCATTATCAAAGCAAAAGGTTACCCAACAAAATACTAAATCATTTTTTGACTTGTATAATGAACATATATACACCTGTATTAATATCCTGTATCAATAAATGAATTCTATTACTCACTTGTCTTGGTAAAAATACAAAAATCGACTTTCTATGGGTGTGTCCATTTTTTTGTCTCGTTCTGTATATATATATATATATATATATATATATATATATATATATATATATATATATATATATTTCGCACGTTTAAAATATATATATATATATTTTTTTTTTTTTCCCCTCATACCATTAATCATTTCATTTTTAATGTTTTAATTGTATGTAGGGTGTTTGTGTGAGTCAATATATATTGCAATAATTGTTAAATATATATATATATATATATATATATATATATATATATATATATATATATATAATTTATTTATCCTGCACTGTTACATTAGAACATGTACATACCCACTACAAAACTGTGCATCTTGTTTCAACATTAAAAAGTAACATTTCTTCAGCTGAGAAATCATGATGGTACTCAAATATTGGCTTATATATTGTTGCCTTCCTGTGCCTTTTCTACAAATACTTTCATGGTAATTGTTCGGATGAGCTCTTGGCTATGGTACCTAGACTTTTTTAATTTAATCGCAGTACTAGACTAATGTCGATATCTCATCAATTTACAATTGAGCTGGCTAGATGTAACCATAAATTCTATGCTAACAGTTTCTTTTCTCACACTTCTTGCTTGTGGTACTCAACTCTATGCTTTCTCACTAACTTTAATCTTCAAAAATTTAAATACAATGTCAATTGTTATCTACTGTCTTTCTGATTACTCTTCTTTTGTTCTCACTCACTAATAATATTGCTTTTTCTAATTCTTCAACACCCAGTAACCACTTGTGTCTTTTTTGGCTTTACTGCCTTGCTTGGGGTGAACTCAATCAAAAAAAAAAATACTTGGTCTGCCAAATTTCACCATTGACCACATCCAACATCCTGCTGCTGATGTCTTCATCGTAACCCTGGCAGGAGTAGCTTCCAAGTGCTATGCATTACCAAAGGTCAGCCTGTAATTTGGTTTCCTCAGGATCTGAATTCAGAATTGTTGTTCTTCTAGACTAGCTGCCAACCAAGGCTAAAAAATGTCTAGTCTGCTTACTGTTTAGCCCATAGCTGAGTGGAGATAGATTCATACCTTTCTCAGGGGTATTTGCACTTAAGTGAATGTAACAAACTCAGTTGGAATTTGAACTTGGCTCTCCAATTTCTCATTCCAGTGCGCCATCCACATATCATTGCCGAAATCAATTCAAAATGAATCTCAACTTACAATGAAACAAGTGTACTGATGGGATCTTCAGGTCGATTAGTGATTAAATTCTCAATGGCTTCTCTCATCAAATGACCAACAGAGTTTCGCTCTGGAAAAGATAAGAAGAAAATACATTTGATATTTTGACAATTTCTTTGTCTTTATCTGTGTACAAATTGAAGAATTCCCCATAGATTTTTAAACAAAAGATGAAAGATCTCCTAAAAATATTTAGGCATTCTCCCAGTGGGACAAAATACAGCACATTGTCTGTTGGGATCTCCCACCCTGTGAACCTAACTCATTAGTGTAATAGGGAGGGGCAGACTGGGTCATGGATCCCCAGTAACTCTGCATGATGAAATATTTGTCTGTCTTGATTCAGAACATCCGGCCAACAAGTTGTTATACATGTTTCATATGTTCCTTGCATGCAGATGTCATATATTCAAATCTTTAAACAGCATTCTTAATTACATTTTCCACTGGCCTGAAGTGGAACGATCATATTGAATCAATTGTTACGTCTGCTTGTTAGGAAATTTGGTTCGCTTTGTCATCCCATAAAATTTTTCTCACCGGAATCCATTTTGTACATTTATAAATTTGCCATTCATACATGTATTGAATATTACTACCACATTTGGTCTGGTGCTCCTCTTAAAAAATGTATCTGCAATGTTATTGGTCCTGACCTGGCATCTAAGCTTTAATTGTGGTGTTTGTGAAGAGTGTATATTCGTTGGTAATTGTTGCTTGTATAAGAAGGTAGGTAAGCAGTAGCAGTCACTTCGAGACAGCTGCTAGTTTGGCCTAAAGGTTCAACAAGCAATCAAATTGAGGTCACCATAACAGAAACAAACAAAATATGAAAGAGAAGGGTATATCAGAAACACTTTATATTTAAATACACATCAATGATAAGTATAATGTTTCTTGATTAACACGCACAAAGTCCGTTATTAAAATGTTCATTCAAAGAAAAGAAATCAGATTATGAAAGGAATTAAAGTGTCATTTTGTGAATACTTAAGTTTAGGCGTGCACGGGTCCCAGGAGATGAAAAGGTGAGGTCAATGGGTTGGTAGGTGTCATTTGATATCTCCGTTGGTGAAGGAAAACTGGAGGCGTCGGGTTGATGGGTGAGAAAAAGCGTGGCGACATTCTATAACGGTAACTTCAAGGCTTTCTGACCAGAAGTGAATTCATCGTTCTATTTATGTGTGTCCATCGGATCTGAGTCAGTATGCTGAAACAAACTGTTGGATATGGCGTGGGGCCGTTTAATTGGTGGAAATTGCTTATTATATTCTTTTTTTATTTCTTTTGATTTTCCACGGAACTTATGCATCGAGCCTGGTCTGCAAAGACCAGTATTGGTCATTTGCTATCTAGACCTCTGAGGGTTAACATCCGGTCCTTCGCTTGCTCAGTACCACCACATAATCATTTTCCCAATGTCGTAATGTAGCTCCCTTCTGTCTTTTTTATAAATATTTCATGACAATTGTTCTAATGAGATGAGGAAGGATTTTTTGCATGGCCCTATTGCAGTCCAATGCCAAATAAGAATCTGCAATATTATTGGCCCTGATCTAGCATCTCCACTTCAGTCACTTTACCACCACTGTAAGGTTGTCTCCCTGTGCCTTTTCTACAAATACTTTCATGGCAATTGTTCTGAGATTTCCTCCTTGGTATCTCAATTGTATGAATTCAAGCATACTACTAGATTGGCGATCTTTTACTGTTATAATAGCCAGATGTAACTGTAAGTTCTACTCTAATATTTTCTTTACTAGCACTTCTTGCCTGTGGAACTATCTTGTGGTTTTTTACTTCTTTGACACCTAATTTAAATGCAGCATCAATTGCTATCTTCTGTCTTCCTGAAACCTATTCTTTTATTGTTCTTTCTCCTTATCAACATCTTCTTATTCTCTTACATTCACCTCTAGCATCTTAGTGGCATTATCACTTTGCTTGAAGTGAAATGATTAAAAAATAAAGCTTCCATCAGGGTAGATCACTCATGAGTAAAAGTTGATATATAATATGTGTATTAAAGGTCAGTTTAAAGTTGATATATAGTATAGAGTTTGAGTATCCTTTATCCCAAATCTCCAAAATCCGAAAGTTTTTCAGGTGCTGACATGACTTGCCACAAATGGAAAATTTCAGAAAGCACTGAGAAGGTTCCTAAGTGATGTACAACTCTTGTAAGTGACCTCTTCTGTCCTGGTTGGGAGTTTCCCAGCCTAGCTACATAACCTACGTTGATGCCAGTTTTTTTTGTTAGCGATTGTCACAGCAACACCTTCATTTATGGATGACTTACCAGGTGTTTTGTGCTCAGTAAAGATATTCAAAATATCAAAGTCCTGCAGATACCCATATAAATAGTGAAAGGAAAAAAATGAAAGCATTTATGTTTATTAATATTACAGAAAGTCAAATTGTTGGAAAAACTAGATATGTGTGAATCATCTGACTGAAGAGTTTGACGTTGGAAGAACCGACATATACAATTGAAAGAAACAGAAGGAGAAATTTTAAAAGTTTTATGTGGAAAGTGATGAACAGAAATTAATGAAAAATAGAAAAAACTGCCAAGAGCAAAAAATGATGATCTCTATTGTGTATTGGTGGAGTGGATTTGTCAGTGTTGGAGTGAACATTTGCTGCTTATATAAAACTACCTTCAGTGTATAAGCTGTGTTATGAAATGTAAAGGGATATTGTGTTTATGATTGGGTTCCATTCACAAGATGCTCCATTTTATAGATGCTATATACAAATTAAATAGCCTACATTCCAAAATCAAAAAAAAAAAAATTGAAAACTGAAGCAGTTCTGGTCCCAAGAATTTTGTATAAAGAACTCCCAATCTGTAATAGGAAGATTAACTGATTTAAGGTTTAATTAATCTGAATTAAAACTAATATTACTTACTTTTAGCTTAGAATATCAGAGAAAAACATTTTTTAACATGGAGGTAGGTGTTTTATGAGGTGTTGACAGATTTATTGATAGATTAATATTTGTCATTTTTAAATAAAGGGGTCATAACTGTAAAATTACTTGAATGTAATGTGAATGCCTTTTTTACATATATATATTTTTAACTACACAGTAATCTTAAAATTTAGGAAAATATTCCAAGTAATCTAATATTTTATTTTACTTTGGCTTAATCGCTTTACCTATGAAGACACTTTTTTGAAAAATGTTAGAAAATTGCCAATAAATTTTAAATGTATTATAGGTACCTCTTTTATTTTTTGATGTCATATATGGACATCCACATTTACAAAAATCAACACTTTATACATATAAAAAAAATTCAAAATTCTTTTTAAAATACTGAATGTCATTGCATTGTAGTGAGGTTTTCCAATTATGATTAGTAAATAGTTTTAATTTAATAACAATATCACCTGACAACTACAAATTAATACAGAATTTTAAAACTTTATAAATTGTTCTATTTTTAAAAAATGAAAACAATTCTTGTAAAAATTCATTATTCATCAAAAACCTTTTTTTCTTTAGTCAATAGTGTCCATAATATATTTAATTCAATTAAATTAGTTTCAAATTAAATAATGTCTTCGTTTTATTTCATTTTTTACTTTACAATTCAGAGCAGATTTGTAACTGGGGGTCCTGTTTGACCAAAATAGTTTGATGTGTTAAAGTCTCCAAGTACTTGTCCTTATAACTAATATAAACATTAAGTGATGCAAAAAAGAATTTCTCAAAATTTCATAAAATTAAATCAGATAAAAAAAATTTTTTGAAAATTTCTTAACAAAAAAAAAAACACATTAAAAAAATAATTTCATTTATTTGTGAATAAGTCCTGAAAGTTTCATTAAAATCCTACAATTATCTGGTTTTTGTAACAATTTCCAATTTAATGTGTTCTTCATCACAAAAAGACGCACAATTTTCCTGTTCAAATTTACACCAGGAAAACAAAATTTCAAAGGTTAAAAATAACTGTCATATCGAAATTCCTTTAATCTTTCATCACATCATAGTACAATGATTTTTGTTTGACAATAAAATTTTGTTGTTATTATGTTCTGTGCTTTTTTTATCATTTATCAGTTTTATTAGCAAATTTCTGTAAATAGATTATTTTTCACAAAAGATCTTTCCAGTTTGTCATATTTTTCTACATACTGTTTGTTCATATATAAAATTATGCTAAACTATATGTTATTATATCATAGATAGATAGATAGATAGATAGATAGAATACCCAACGTTCGGTTGACTCAAAAATTAAGTTTTAAACTTTTTAAACTACAAAATACCTTACTTTAGACCCCACCCATCCACAAAACTACATGCCGAATTACTTTTTCCTTTTAATAAACTCACCCAGAAATTGCCTATCACCTTCCAAAATGCCACCTCCAGAACACCTGTCATCATCGCAAATTTTCTTTTTGTCCGCCATGTTCTTAATTTGCTTCAGTTTGTGTTGCTTAGCAACTGAATCACGTCATCGCACGTGTTGTAAGATGAGTCAGATTTTTTTTACATTCATTTTAGTTCCCCTTACGTCAGTCTTATACGGGGAAAAATACAATTAAGTTAAAAAGGAAACAAATAGATGTTAATTTCATTTTATTTATTTATTTATTTTATTTTATTTTATTTTTTTGCTTACTTCCTCTCCAGATATTTCGGAGGTTAAAGTAAACGATATTTTTTAAATTTTAATGATTTTATTTTTCACCAACAATGAATCGAAAATTCACTTCATACGGTAGTAGTGTGTGAATGTGTTCAAAATATTTTTCACGTAGATTTTTGTTTTGACGTAATAAATAAAAATTTGTTTTTAAAAATTTTAAATTAAAAAATTCCATTTAAGTATGTCTCATTCACAGATTGAAGCTAATATTTCTAAGTTTCGCTCAGTACAATATACAATACAAAAAATATTGAACAAAAAAGAAAAATGTTATTTAAACTAATTAAAGAAACTAAGTTTCAAAATAAAACACTCAAAATTCGTTACGTTTGTATGCAGACGAAACCGGAGCGTAACCATATCCGGTAGAGTAGAACAACAGAAAATAAACAATTGCGTCCATAACAGTTTGGTATGCATTTTAAAACTACTAATCATCCACAAAAATTCAAAATATATTCTATAAATGAAGATATTTTTAAAGATTTAAATAAATTTCTTTTTAATATTTAATTTTTTTATTTTGTTATTTTTCTTTAGAGTTAGACCGGAAGTTTATCCGGTCTTACACTCTTCGCTCAACACGGTTTGTTCATAGTCGTGTGATTCTTTTCGATTTTCTACTTTGGTCGGTACCCACCCAAAACAAAAACTATAAACATTACTGCTTTTTTCTTTTAATTGGATTAGCCCTGACCTGCCCAAAATGTTCAGGACAGGCCCAAATTATACAAAACTTAGTACTAACCTTCGGTTGACAGTAAATAGGCTGAAATTGCTGGAAAAGAAAAAGACCGAATTGGCCCAAAAGGCCCGTCGTGAAATCGCCGATTACATTGCAAATGGTAAAGAAGATCGCGCCCGGATCCGCGTAGAACATATAATTCGGGAAGATTATTTGGTTGAGGCGATGGAATTACTAGAAATGTATTGTGATCTCCTGTTGGCAAGGTTTGGTCTCATCCAAACACAAAAGTAGGTCTTCTTAAATCAACGTTGTTTTCACTTTTCAGACTTTTTTTTTTTCGAAAAGGGAATTCCCTTAAAAAATATTTGTTTTTCTTTTAATTTTTATTATTATCCTTTTTTTAAAAAAAAAGTTCCGATATTTCTTTCCTTGTTTTTAAGTGTGTAGGGAGGTATTGTTAACTTTAACGTTTCAAACGATTTCTGCATACCAAACACTCCTTTTCCCCCTTTGTTTTTAGGACTAGCCTCATATTTTGAGACTCCTTTTTTAAGGGTTTACAAAAGTCATGTATTCGAAATAAATTTAAAAAATATCGCCCGAAATTAGATACAATTGATTTCAGCTTTTTTTTCTATTTTAATTACATAGAAAAAAATATTTGAAATGACATTTTTTTTCATTTTAAATTCGTCTTACTCTTACATAACTTTTCATATCTAAAAAAAATTGTTTTTACTTTTTTTTTTTAACTTAATTTTCTAGATCTTTTCCTATTTTCCATAACTCTTCTTTTTTTTTTTTTAAATTATTATAACTTACGATTTATTTTTGTTATACAAATTCCGAGACTTATTGATTGATCACAAATGTTAAAAGTAAAACTACAGTTTGTTTTTGCAATATGACTGCTCCTAAAAAAAAAAATTACTTCATGAAATTTTTAAGAGTGGGATGTAAATTAGTGTTTGATATGCAAAAATAATGGTTTTGAAAAGTTAAACTTTTAAAAACTTAATTTAAATTCCCTCACAAATCAATATTGTTTTTCCTTTTTTATTTTTACTATTTGTGAACTTCCCTCAAGTTTTCAAACTGTACACTGCAGTACAAGACACATTTATTTTGATCTCAATTCTTTTCTTTTTTATTTTTAATTTCATTCATTTTTTAGACAACAAAATGTTTATTTATTAATGTAGATTTTGAAAATATTGGGTTAATTTTACTTTTCTTTTTGTTTTATGTTGGAAACGCCTTAAAAATTATTTTTGACATTTGGAAGTTTATTTTGTTTTAATTTTCTATATAATTCAAAACAAAATGTTATTTGACAAATTCTTTTTAATAATTAAATCCTCCAAGAATCAATACCTCGATATAAAACTGTAAACATTTTTATGGAATCAATGTATTGATTTTTTTTTTTTTTTTTTAGGGTACTAGTGTAATTATCTAACTCAAAATTAAAAACAAAATAAAACTCATACAAGTCTTTCATTTCAGTTTCAATCAAAACTGTTTCATTAATATTTTTTTTATTTTTTACTGTTAAATATTTTCAAGTAATTTTGAAGGAATACCAACAAGAATTTATGTGGCATGACAGATTTGATGATAGTGGATTTTAAAATTTAAAAGAATCTTTAACTTCAATCAATAAAATAAATTTCTACATCTTTCCTATTTTCCTTAAATTTACAATGAGACATCCTTCCCCAATATTGCATTAGATGGGGAAGCTGACAAAAAAACTGAGGACATTCAAATTGACACCGTCACAGGAAAGATAATAATTTGGAAATACCAATCACCTTCCCATTCAAAAAGTTCAGGTAATTGTTGTGTTAGTGAATTAACGAGGTGTCCACTGTTTTGCTTGGTTAAAATTGACTTTGAATGATTAACAATTAACCTGAAAAAGTTTTCATTTGAGAGATCTACTTTTAAAATGACTGCTAAATGTAAAACACAAAAGATTTAGTTAGATAAATGATCATTTCTGTCTGAATTTCTTTGATGAGGAATTATCATTATTTACATTCGAACTGTTGTCCTAATCTATGTTCACATCATAACATTTCGGCTGTTGTGCTCTTCAGACTTCATCAGGAGCTTGTTGATCCAGGTAATCTCAAACTGAACCCTTTATTTAATCTACAGGGGTAGATTGTCCTCATTCCACTGACCATGTCTAGGGACATATAGTCTACTCTAGTTCTTAGTATTTCTCACCTCATTTCCAAGTACACATTGCCTATCCCAAGGATTGAACTCATAATTACTATGTCACCAAATTCAGGAGCCAATGTTTAATCCACTGGGGTATTGACCAGATAAAACCTTCAACAAATATATTTATATAAAATTATCAGTAGTTGTTGTAATCTTTATTTACACTATATTCAGGCTAATGTCTTTGTTGTTATCATCCCAACGTTTCAGCCATTGTGCACTTTGGTCTTCATAAGGTGTATATCAATCTGGATAATCTACAGGGAACTCTAAACTGAAACCTTTATTTAATCTACAGGGGTAGACTATTCTTGTTCCACTGTCCATATCTAAAGATATCTAATTCTTAATTTAGTAGTACTCAGTTATTACTTACCCGGCCCAGGGATTGAACTCATAGCTACTATGTCCCTAAATTCACAAACCAACACTTTAATCCACTAGGCTATTGCTCTGTGTTATCTGGATTGACAAGCACCTGATGAAGGCTGGAGGACACAACATTCAAAACATCTTAACAACAACATAATGCAAATAAACAAATGACATAGAAAAAAAGAGAAAAACATGTTAATTTTTATTGTTAACTGAAAAATAAAGAAAATAGGTGCATAAATCATCAGTGAATTTTTATTCTACTATATGCTCCATAAAACATGGTCTTGTGCCGGACGTAGTTCAAACAATCATCATAGAGAAACATTTTTGCACTTCATCAACATGGCTGATGCTAACCATGAAGTGAGCAACTGTTTGTACTTTCTTGGGCACAAGTTTTCCACTGACCTGAAGTGGAGGAATTATATTGAATCAACTTCTAGGTCCCTAAATAGGTAACTCAGTTCATTGTGTTTTGCTAGACAATTTTCTCATCATAATCCGTCTTGCACACTTTTAAATCTACCATTTGTCCATGCATTGAATATTGGTTTATATATTTATTTGATATTGTCCATGCATTGAATATTGCTGCCACAACTGGTTTGGTGCTCCATCTATATATCTCTAGATTCTTGACAAAATCCAAAAAACGGTCTGTTATGTTATCAGTCTTGACCTGGCATCATGACTTTTTTTTCTTACTAGTTTTAATTTGTAAAATGTCTACAATTCGACTGTATCAGTTAAAGTACAAAATTAGTTTTGTGTTGATTCTTATTTTTGTTTGGAAAAATTTGGTTTTAAAAAAAAAACAAAAAACAACAAGGTTCTGTTGACTAAATAATGGACTTTTGTATGAAAAAGCATTTTTTCTTCTGCAATTTTTGTTTTGTTTCAGTATGACATTGATTTCTTTTGAAAATTTTCAAATGGGACAGAATGAAATGATTCTAAAGTACAGGCTCAGTTTACAATATATACAGAAAAGGTCGAACTAGACCAAATGAGTCTAGATATATGTTCAATCTAACCTTGTGGTTCCCAAACAATGTGCTGCACCTCATAGGTGTGGAGGAAGAGGACAGCAGGTGAGGTCAAATGATTGAAAGACAAAGATTTAGAAACAGTTTCAAAAAATTCATATAGCAAAAATAAATATGATTTCAACATTTAAAATATTCTTATGGATTACTTGTAATTGCATTGCATGAGTCCCAGTATAAATAGTTATTGACTGATTTTATCATTGTAATATTTTTTGCATCATATCAAGTATTAAGAATATAGTAACTAGAGTCCACAAATTGGAGGAGAGAATTATCAATGATAATGTTCTGACTTCAAATCCGCAGTTATTTCCCTTTAACCCTCTCTGTTTTTTTTTTGTTTGTTTGTTGTTTTTTTTTTGTTTTTTTCTAAATGTACATTTTTATCACATAAAATTTGGTGAGGCGTGTGCAAATTTTTATTTCTGAAAATGCTGCCCAGAAAAAAAAATGTTTGGGAACCACTGACCTAACTTATGAATTGAATGTAAAACTGGACCCTGAATTTGTGCTCATTTACACAATCATAGCTGTGAAAGAAAGATTTATAACAATGGAAACATACTTTCAATTCTCAAAAACAGGTATTTATGAATTACATTTATTACTGATCAGGAAACTTATCTAACCCAACATTTTAAGAGTAGTATGATATGGATAAGTAAGTCAAAACTAGTAATAGCTATTTACTAATTTAATTCAAATTGGGCACAAGACAAAATTAGGGAAGAACCTAGTAACCATCAAACATAGATGGTCTATAAAACTAGCTTAATAAGGCAGTCAACATCAAATCAGGAATAAGTTTACAAAGTATTGTGCAGGTGAACTAAAAATATATTGTCTCCACACCCACTTAAAGGAGTGTAACATTGTCACAAATCAAATATCTTTAAGTTGTATGGACATTAGTAATATCTTTTACTAATTCAAAAACTTTCGCAGATTTTTACAGCTGAATAATGACTGAGGATCTTGTTCAGATTTTACAAGCATTTAAATAACTATAAAACATAAAGCATAGGGAATACCTGTCAGCAGATATTTAGAATATTTTGGGGAGCAAAGATTTTAAAATGACCGGGGAGGAGAAGGTTGATTATTTCAAGGCATAAAAACTTACTTTTACAAATTTATGGCTGAAATTTGAGTTGTAAATGGCTTAGCAATTAATTTCAGTAAGAGGAAAAAACATGACTATTTATATTATAGTTTTAACAAAGGCATAAAAAATTCTACTGCACTTTAGTATATGCGTGTATAGGAGTTAAAGATCAAATGTAGATCAGAATCTGACATGATGATAAGATAAAGAATAAATAGGAAATAAAAACAAATGTTTTCTCTCAGTCTTTGACAAGGTCTTAATGTAATTGAAAAATGTTAGATTTATAAATGTTTCCTATTTGTTCTTTATCTTATATATATAAAATACAACATGACCAAATATTCTTGAAGTTCTCTACTTATTGATCTCTTTATTTTGTTGCCACAAAGTTTGGGGGACTTTCTCAGATGTACATCTCAATGGTTGCAACAGAAATAAAGAGGTTTAATAAGCTGATAAACTATGAGGAAAAAATCCTGATTTAAACTATTTCAATCATGTTTCACTGTTTTCAAAA